TTGCTAAAGGGAGTACTTTAGAGGCAACAAAATCGACTGCTTCATCCCTAGATCTCACTGGTACCTGGCATGGAGTTGGTGTGAAACAGTTGCCTCAAAGAATAGCAAGTCTGAACATTCCCTATATTTTAGAGCAAACTAAAATTTAGAGATTTAGTTATACATCATATTCTATTCCTAGTATAATTCTTTAGGCTATTTTCTCCATAATGAGGATGAACTGCAAAAACATGAATCCGTTTACCCATCAATGGAAGAATGGATAAATTGTGATACATACGTACATTAGAATACTACATAATGTTAAAGAATAATGATGAATCCATGAAACATCTCATAACACGTATGAACCCGAAGGATATCATGAGTGAAATAAGTCCATCACAAAGGGGCAAATACTGTGTGAGACTACTATTGTGAAAAAGTCAAGAAAAGGTTTGCACACTAAAGGAAACACTCATTGATGGCTACCAAGTGTGGAAGAGAAGAGAGGGTAAGTTACTGGCTAGACTGGAGCTGGGAAAAGGGTAGACACATGCTAACTTAACTGAAGGAGAAGGCAATATACAATAAAAGGAAGGTTGGTAACAAATGATGGAGGTAAGGTAAGGCACTGGAAGGAGCTAAAGGCAACAGAAGTAAATATTTTATACAAAAGCCTGCAATATTAGAGGTGCATGGATAGATACACATGGTGAACAAGCATAAAGGAAGAGTGGGAATACAGGTTCCACGAAGGGTATTTGCACATGAGTATCTGCCTTTACTACAAATTACAGTGGAACATACAGGGGTCAAAGTAATGAAAACTTGTTAGAGATAATCAAACACCTTAAGGGAATGAGTCGCTGAACCCAAGGTCTCGGGATGCTTAGGTCAACTGATACAACATAATCCATAAAGACAATGCTGGAGACCCACGCACCGACTCACCCACGCACCGACTCACCCACGCACCGACTCACCCACGCACCGACTCACTCACTCACTCACCCCCCCAAAAAATAAAAA